TGCTGATGCTTTGTCCTAAGTATATTCTCTCCTTTGCCCATTTACTGATTTGAGAAATCTAGTTGAAATAGATGGGGGATTAAATGGTCTTTCTTTTGTGTATTTTTCTTTTTGTGTTCTTCCCAAATGTATGCCATCATTATAATGGCTGATGTAATCGATTGCAACTAAAAAGCATTGCATTTACTAATCGCATACACTGTTTCATTGAAACCCACTTCAGTTGTAACATTTTCAACAGATGGTATACCCCATTCCAGAACAATCTAATTTCACTTTCTCCCCTACCGACCACAATATAGAGAAATTTAAGGAAGAGAAGAAAAAACTTTATCATTCTTTCATTTTCCTTTTGCTATAACTTTATTCCAATATGGTATCAAGAGCTCTTGACTCTTGTGCTATGGTTGGGTAGTTTGGCATGATTGCTGAATTTTTTAGTTTTGTGAATAAAGAAGGTTGATGAAGACCTGCTTAACACATACACGAGACCTGAAAGATTGGTGTTCATTTTTCTTTTTTCATTTTTTTGTCGAAAATGAAGATCTTAGTTGAGATTAAGAATTTGATTCATGCATGAATCATTTATTATCTATATCGTTGATCCAATAGTAAAATAGAACACAAAATGATTTCCAAACCCCTATGTAGTTTGTTTTCTGAATAAGTTGTGCATGTATCTCGAACTTGCTCTTTTACATGAAAAAATGTGGAGACTACTAGAAGCTAAAGAATGAGTTGGATGACATAAATGGACCTATGGACCAGAACTATGTGGAGCTTGTTTTAAATGTGTTCATTCTGTGTTGATGGTATCAGAACCAATTTTTTTGCTCAATGACTTCATGTGAGCAAGGAAGTTAGCAGACCATCACAAACATGGAAAGCTAGACTTCAGGAAGGCTTTTGATGTGGTTAACTGTTGCAAATTGTCTTCAAAGTTCTTATTGAGGGAATCCTGCTAAGGAGATAAAAGACAATTATTTTGGTTGCTGGTGTTGGCAAAACACAACCAAATCGTGAAACAACCAATCGTTTATTCTTGAATTTTTGCCTCACCAAAGTGATGGCCGGAGATTTTTGTAACATGGAAATACACCCTTATATGAAGTTCCACCCATGTTCTGGCATCACACTCAGAGATTGGACATGAATATCAATTGCCAGGTGTGTGGTCATTCATGCAAATTCGTATAAGCTGTTTAAAGTACAAGGGTGCTGCCAAATTGGATTTCCATTAGTGAAATATGTATAAAGTGATGTTCATGGAGTAAAATGGAGCATGGTACGTTAGTGAGAATTTTACCATGGATGATTCACTGACCTGAGCACCTAGATTGTGAGTAGAAGAAACCAGTTGTATGCATCAAGTGTTGTAGAAGCATGTTGGTGATTTATGTTGCTTATAAATTAGGATGATGGAATTGTTAGAATATCTTGGGTTTGATGTTTTGTTGCAACTGTCCCTTGTGATGGTATGTCAAGGCCTGGTGCATCTTTTGTTTTGGATCTCAGTGGAATTCTGCAACCCAAAGTCTTTGTAGTGGTTCGAGTTGTTAATTTTTTTTCTTTGGAGACTACAAGTTGCACATCCACTAAGATTTTGACATTCTTTTATGGCTTTCTATTATTTGGTAAAAGCAGTGGTTTAAAAAGCGCTAGGCGCCAAGATCCTAAAATACCTAAGGTGCTAGGGACTTGCCCGAGCGAAGCGAGGTGCTTTGATAGTGGAACTTTCAGACGAGGAGAAAAGAATTGTTAAGAGGGGGAGAAAATAATTGTGCTCGAGTGAAGCGAGGGGGAGAAAAAAACTGTTAAGAGGGGGAGAAAAAGTTACCGACAATGGAACTTTTGGACGACAACGAAGGTGGTGGAGGAAATTGCAGACGACAGTAGTGGCAGAGATGGAAGCTGCGAACAACAACAGCTGTAGGCGGCGACATCGTGGACAGAGGAAGCTTCATAGGTGTCCATCGAGAGCGAAGGAAGTTATGGTCCTCTCTTTCGATGGTGGAAGGAGCTACACACAGAAGCAACGACAGTGGAAGGAAGCTGTGGATGAAAGCTAGGCCGTCGGACCAGTCTGTCGGTGACAGAGGAAGCCTCGATCCACTGCATCTGCAGCAAAGGCAGTAGCAGAAAGCGTCGGTAGTGGATGCAGAAGCCGTGCTAGGGTTGATGGCTCAGGGTCATGCGGGGGTGCAGGGGGTTGCTTTTGCTGGTAAGAAAGTGGCTAGTTGGTTCAATCAAACCAACTAGCCACTTTTGGACCAAACCAGACTTTAAAGTCTGCTTTGGTTGCTTCATTTGAACCGGGCGCTTACTCGAGGCACCTGATACCTAGGTTCAAGCGAGCACCTCACTGAAGCACGTCGCCTAGCCCACCCTTGAGGCGCTTGGGCCTTGCCTCGTCTCACTCGAGCACCTAGGCAAGCGCCCCGGTGCCTATTTAAACTGCTGGGTTAAAGTCATTACTCCCAATTATAGAAAAACATTATTTTCTCAATAATAAAAAATATATCAGAAAGATATTGTTATTATATTATTAATCTACTGTGCACTGGCATCTTATTTACCATCATCCACTGCATACATGATTTGGATTTGCATGACTTGAAATGTATACAAAGAACCCGCTTAATTGGATGTCTTTAACAAATAGAAGTGACTGAACTATGCTGAAGTACTAGTACTACTCAAGAGTGTACTAAAAAGTATGTTCTATTTATCCTTGGTTTTTGACTTGGAAGTGTAATGTTGTGGTTTAAGTTGCCAATTAGTCATATTAGTTTATGCGAGGAAGATGCAAGAATTATGAAGTCCTTCTCTTCTTTTTGATTTCTTTATATTGTGGTTAGTAAGTAAGAAAGCAAATTCAAATTGTTTTAGAATGTGGTATACCAGCTATTGAAAATTTATAACAGAAGTGGTTTTTCATGAAACGGTGTATGTGATTGGTTCGGTGCTGTATATAAGATCATATACTAGTTATAGAATTTGACCTAAACCAGTATTTTCTTATCCTGACCATACGTTGTCATTCCTGAACCAGTGATCGTATTATCTTGTAGCATTCGTCTTGTTAGACTGTTGGTTTTGAGGATTTGCACACATTTATGCTCTAAGGTGTCCACTTTCTCACTGCTTTGGTTTCTGCATACTGTAAATGAAAATTAACATAGAAGTTCAAGTGAATGAACAGTTTGTTGTTATATATTGTTCGTACTAGCATGGAAGTTCCATAGTCCAATTGACTGCTTTGCCAGCTTGTCTTGGCACTCAAAAAGTATTTTATTCTCCTTTGTAATGACAGGAAACGTTTATTTAGCATGATCAATGAACTTCCGACTGTTTTTGAAGTTGTCTCAGATAGGAGACAGTCAAAGGAGAAGTCTAGCATGGACAGTGCTAGTAAATCTAAACTCGCAACCAAGGTGATGTTAGTTGAATCTTCTGCTTGTCTTTGCTTTCCTTCCAAATTTTTTGACCAATAACTAATTTTACTCCACAGAGATCAAGTGATGGACAGATTAAAAGCAACTCGAGGACAGCTGATGAGGGTTATGGTGAGGAAGATGATGAACACAGCGAAACCCTTTGTGGAACTTGTGGTGGAAGTTATAGTGCAGATGAATTTTGGATTGCCTGTGATGTATGTGAAAGGTGGTTCCATGGGAAGTGTGTGAAGATAACTCCTGCAAAAGCTGAGAGTATAAAGCAGTACAAGTGCCCCAGTTGCAGTTCAAAGAAAGGAAGGCAGTAAGAATTCGTTTACCAAGTAAATCATATTCCTCCATTGCAAACCAAGTAAACCCTTGAGACTTAGTTTCCCGTGATGTTAACTGTAGTCACTAAGTAGTGGTAGGGCCTGTCAAACTGTTCTCATCCGATACAGAATTGCAATGCTGAAGAAGTTTTTATCATTGTTATCTGTAATTTATATTAGATCTGGATTCACGTATAACTGGTCTTCTCTCTGTTTCTTTCCCTGGAAAATTGTGGGTTACTTGCTTGATTTCATCTTTTGCTATCACTTACCATGGATTCCCTTCTGGCAGTGAAATCAATTCAGCTATCTGTATATCCCAAATTGGTAAAACATTTTTGTCAAAGGTAGCTGAACGCCTGATTGTTTTTTTCTTCTCATTATTCTATCTTCATTCATGTTGAGATTGGGAAGGAAATATGGAGAGATTGTAATTTTCAGTATGGTGATGGATTCCTCCATCAACACTAACAAAATTGCCTGCAGCAGGTGAGTTTTGGATGGATCAGTTCTGAACAGTTACCTTTTTAATCCACTCTATATAGCCTGAGGTGCCCATGCGACTGTCCTCATGGCCCAGTCACATTTTAGAGTGTCTTGAATGGTTGTGAAGTGCAACATGAAGGTCCAAGTAGAACAGGCTGAGTTGAGGATCCTGTTATCAATAGCTACTAGAGAAGGCTTTTCATGTCTAGTAGACATTTAAACAATGTTATAACTACATTTCTTTGTCAATCATTTCTTCATGTTTAGTACTAATATGATATATTCTGGTATATCCACGTGCCAACAGTCACATCAGCACCAATGAGGAGGTTCAAGGTTGACGTGATACACTGTCTCGACGTGACACCTTAGATTCAAGTGAGACGATCGTCTGTTCTCGTGTCGTACAAGACGACGATGTATAGTACAAAATAGCTATTACAAGCTTAGAATGGCAAGTCGAGAAATTTTCCTTCCGGCTCTGGTCTTTGTGTAGGGACTCGATGGAGAAGAAACAATAACCCATCGAGGGAGAGACCACACTCGGGTGACGAAGCTTCGACCCGACATTGACCTCTTCTGTTCAAGCCTCCGTGTGGATGACTTTGCGTATTCGGGATCGGATCAATCCATGCTAACACTTCGGCCATAAGGTTTCCCAACAAGCATGGCGTCCCTGCCCATGTGCTAAGTTGACAACAAATTTGAATTTGATCCTATCAAACATTTAATGGGATTAGGATTTTGATTGATTTAAGATTACAGTTAAATCCTTGAGATATTGTGCAAGAGTAGGTTCTACATCCTTACCCATTGCCATTATATTCTAACACATCGGACCAAGAAATCACAACAAAAATTTATCGGTTCTTGCAAGCTTATCTCATCCACGACCATCAGGAACAAGTCGCCGACGACGGAAGCCATGTCAGAGGACCAAAGGACAGAAACCTTAGTCGAAGGTAAACAAACGGGAACGATCAAGACTGCAGGCCGTCGCTCCTCCTCGTGTCAGGTCGGCATCAGGCCTTTTTCCTCCTCGTCTTTCTTGTGCGCGCCGAATGGAGCTGCATCCTCCACGCCTACTATACTGACCGCTTTATTATTAGCTTGACATTTCCGGGTGAAAGCTGATGAACAGTCGTGCATGTGGAAGAAAACCCACTACCTTTTACAGACATCAACATCGAATCGTTTGCTTACTGTTCTCGAGTGAAAGAAAGGAAGAACGGGATGTCGATGCCAAATCGGTTGTGATATTACTTATCATTTGTCCCAAGCTTTGCTCTCTGTGCTCCCTCGACGGGTCCTCATCGTTCTTCTTGGGATCGGAAGAGTGTCGCGAAGCAGGACGACGACGGGGGGGGCGGGGGCCGGTCAAGTCCCTGGGATGGCCATGGCCTCGAGTGACTCGACCTGGGACTTGCCGCGAGGGCCCTTGCGCCGGATGAACAGGCGGTAGTCGTCGAAGGTCATGGGCCGGTACAGGGCGGCGCGGCCGGTCACCGTGAGGAGCTCCGGCACCGGTCCGATGGGGATGTCGCTCCTTGGGTTGTAGAAGAAGGCCACGGAGAGGCGCTCCTCCTTGGCGTGGACGATCGCCCGGTGCTCGACGCTCTTGTACTCTGCGTTGCTCAGCACCTAAGGACGCGTTCACACATACATGTGTTAATGTTGCATTTCTATTGTTTGATTGAATAAGGTACATATATAAATATATGTATACATATATACATATATACATATATATATATACATATATACATACATATATATATACATATATACATACATATATATATATATATATATATATATATATATATATATATATATATATATATATATATATATCTCGGTGATTGGACTTGCACTGTGTGCAGTGGTCCATAAGGTCTGATTGGGTGTCATTGGCCAGCTCAACATGGACCTGATGAACCGAAATGCATCGACCCTTGTTGTACGAAGTGTTTCCCTCGAGGAACACAATGCAGCAGATGATAGTGGTTTATGTTTTGGACTTTGTAGGTGCATGATTGTCTTCAGATGGATCCTCTAGTAATAGCGCAGGAAGCCCAAAACAGGTTTGTGCCATGGTTGGCGCAACAGACAGCAAGATGAGGACAGGAGAGAGCTCGATGACGAAGTTACCTGAATCTGATCGCCCACGTTGATGATGAAGGCGTTGGGGAGGGGGTGGACGGTGATCCACACACCGTCCTTGCAGACCTGGAGCCCGTGGACGTGGTCGTCCGCTAGCAGCACCGTCATGCCGCCGGGGTCGGAGTGCGGGGACAGCCCCAGCGCGAGGTCCGGCCGCGGGCACCTGGGGTAGAAGTTGACCCTGATGCAGACGCCGTCGTCGTCGCCGCCCAAGGCCTTCTGCAAGCGGTCGGCGTCCAGGCCCAGGCCGAGCGACAGCGCCCTCATCACTCTCCTGCACAGCTTCCTCACCTCCACGCCGTACTCGTCCGTCGCTTCTCTGGTCTCACGTGGGCGGGAGTCAGAATCAACTAATGGGAAGGAGCGGAAGCCAGGGTTTTGCGGTACCTCAAGCATGCTGGGACTGCAGGCCACTTGTCATGGTCTTTGAGATAGCAAGGCAGGAAGTGAAGGAAGTAGTAGTCTCCCCAGTCCAGATTGGCGCCCTCGTCGACCCCGAGCCGGCTGCCGTAGCCCTCGTAGGTCCTCGGCGAGTTCGCGTATCTCTTCTTTTCCTCCATGGGCAGATGGAAGAATCCCCTCCACGCCTCCCGGAACCTCCTCACCAGCTCCATGCTCACGCCGTGGTTCACCACCTGGAAGAACCCCCAGTGCCTGCACGCCTCCGACACCGCCTCGACGACGCCGCCACCGGGCAGCATGGCGAGGTCGACGACCGGAATGTCGAGGCTGCGTGCGGCGTCGCCGACCGAGGGCCGCTGGGACGGCGGCTTTACGTAGCGGTCGGGAAGGGTCGGCGCCTCCGATAAGGACTGCACGGGGACGATCGGCTCCGGCCACTCCTGCAGGCAATCCATGAGCACCTCCAGTTGGGCAGTTTGCTTCAGAAGAGATGTATGTGCTTCCTTGGATCCATCAGAGTGCAGAGATGAGGCATGAAAAGGCAGGAGGAGGAGAGCGAAGAGGGGACGGGAGGAGCAGGTGGTGCAGTGTGGGTACACACGTACGTTGACAGGGCGAGGATGAAGGGGACGTGATCGATGAAAAACGTGTTATAAATGTGGAATTGCAGGAATGGGCATGTGAGGGGTTGTCATTGTGGGGGCTGTGAGAGATGCGTCGAGGAGAGGGAGACGACGCTCAGAGAAAAGATGCTCAAAATCATCTCTGTCCACGTCATGTTCATCTATCCATTAATACATTATATATATATATATATTAATAACCTAAAAGCCTAATATCCATTAACGACTATAATATGTCACTGCATGCACCATGCAGCTCACCCTGGTTTTCATTTGAGTAGTCTAATATAAGTGAAGGGTTTGGAACTCAACCAGCCCTCTCACAGTGGAGGTGTGCGACTATGATCTAAAGGCGAATCTAATAAGGGTTCTCAGAATCCGAGCATAGATCCTTGGCCGTTTGATACATACTATAAGGTCAAGGTGTGTACTTAAGATTCATATTTAATCTGTATCTCATAATTCAGTGTCTTCTCTGTGACAAGCCGCTTCTTTCTCCAGCGACACTCTCTCTCTCTCTCTCTCTCTCTCTCTCTGTGCACCAGTTTAAGCATCATTCATGTCATTTTTCTTTATTCTTCAGGAAAAGGGTAGGTCGAGAAAATAATAGAGTTGCTGAGATAATAGTTTCTTGTAGATAAGATGGCAGATAAGAGCGAGTGGCTGGGAGTTTAATTGGTATCTTCTACAAGGGTCCACAAAATATAGCAGTGTCTGGGAGTGAAAACATGTCAGGAGCACATGGTTTACTGGAGACATGAGCAGGGGAGATGTCTGTGTCTTTTTAGTGCCCTAGAAAATTGTTTCCACTTGCTCCTTCCAAAGATCAACCCTATCTTTCCCAATTTGGTATATGGCAAATTTGACATGTGCAGGGGAGATGATGAACAGGTTTGCTCTGTGCACCCTCTCTCTCTCTCTCTCTCGCTCTCTCTCAGCTCTCTCAGCTCTCCCTGGTTTCCTCTTCATACAAACAAGAAGAGCTGCTGCTTTTGCAGTGTTGACATTTCCATAGAATCTTGTGACGATCTGAGGCCATAAATGGCTTTTGTGTCTTTACAAAGCCTTCGATCGATGACTGAAACACGGACCTCTTTTGGAGGAAGATGACCAGTTGTCTTTGCATGCCATGCCTAATCAATGCCATCGTCTTCAGCAACTGTAGCGTGCTACCCACCCATACTACGGATGGAGATAAGGATGGGCGATAAAAAGGGACAGCTTTTGTGTTCGGGTGATGTTTTCCTCTAATTTAGCGTACATAATATACTTGCAAATCTAAGAATTTTCACATGTCATTATAATTAATCTATGTCTATTAACTAATCTTTGATTGCTGATTGATGTTCGTTCTAAATGGTATTAGCGTCCTTTAAAATTAAATATGATCAAAGAAACACATCAGGGGTACTTTAGGTATTTAATTTTTCCAATTTAACTATGGTTAGCTGTGGGTGGGGAGGAGGAGGATACATGTGAAGCATCTTAACGTTCGGAATATTTGTGATTTAGAATTAAAGGAAATATATGTAAAAATTAGCTTCATGAGAAGATTTCCAATAGATTTAACTATCATTCACCAATTCATCAAACATGAAAGGTATTTTGGATTAAGAAATTGCTTTGTTCAAGTGAAGAGAACATATTCACCAAGTAGTCTTTTACTCACTAACTTGGATAATGTGGATGGGTCAAAATTTATCTTTTTGTCATAGACTTAATTGATTTTACCTAAGTCGTAAGTTACTTTTATGTATTCATCTACAAAAATCAACCTTCTCAAAATCTTTTATCATTCTTTGCAAAAAAGAGAAAATGAATTAGAAGAAACATTAGACTCGAGATCCAATAAATAGATATTTTAGTAAATACTTAATAAATAATATAAATTATAAATATAAACTTCATAAGCTTTGATCGATTATGCGACAAAGGATTCAAGGTGATCCGTCATGGTCAAAAGTTCCCATAAGTGCCCACATGACATTACTACAAAACAAAGTAATGAAATAACCATAGACACTACCCAAAAGCCCATCCAACCATATGTCACTCGGGTAACTCCTAGTTGTTGTATTGGATGATACTCCTTACCGCTCTATGGAGCTAGAAAATTCTCAAAATGATCTCGCTTTGATAGCCTATTTTTGAACAGTTTTACCCCTATGTGACGACTATCATAATCTGCATTTATAAAATTAAGACGACTATAAAAGACAATCAAAATGAGGTTATCAAGCCTACTGCAAACTCTCTACATGCTATGTAAAGCATGAATAAAATCGAAAGATATTGATATTCACAAGTATCACATCGAACCCTTTGTACAAACTTATTTATGATATTTTTCCCTACTTATTTCTTTGAGGTTCTTGTCGAAACCCTCGTGGATGTTGCATCTTCTCACATTTATTAGATCTTTAATATTGTGCTCTAATTACAACGTGTTTCTTGGTTTCCAACTACTCTCCACCACTATTATTAAGTAGTTGAACTTTGACTCACCACCGTTGCTCCAACTCACTAATAACTTTGACTCTAGTGTTGGGTTGATTAAGTTATGTTGATCTTTGTTAGTTCTTATGGATCTCTCAAATGAAGAAAAAGACCTTGTTTGTTGTGCATCAATCTCTTCTCTTAAATATCTTACGCTCCTTGAATTGGGTAGATGCTTGTTAAAGATTTAACAAGCATCACCTCAAAGATTTAAGATCTATCCTCTATAAAATTTGCCTATTGATTCTTCTTTTTCTTAGTTATTGCCTTTAAGTATGTTCACATCACTTTTATTTCGATTGATATTCTATTGAAAAATGAAGTAAACAATCTACACTCTATCATAGATGGTCGTCGCGCACCTGCAACACATTCGTCAACGGATCTATCGTTACTTTTGTTTGCTTGTACATATATTTGGTCGGCATATTTTGCCTCTTTTTTGTATGTTTTACTTGAAAACTGTAAGTAGGAACACTTTGTAACGTTGTAGAGCAATCGCTTACTAGAATAGTAAAATTGCTCCAAAATGGCCTAGCTTTCACGTGCCATGGCCTATTTTCTATAGGCTACAATGTGAAGAAAAATGTTTTCACGCGCCATGGCCTAGCTTTCTGTAGACCTATTTTCTAAGCCTACAGGAACTTGTTAATACACCCAACACTCGATGAGTAGTCAATTGCATACTTATGATTGTTTGTTTGCTTTCTAAAGTACTTATTTTCTCATTCCTCTCTATCCTTTTTTACACATCCAATGTTTGCTGAATTGTTTGTAAAGCTACATTTTTCATGAGATGTAAGGATTTGTTTATCGCTCGCTTTCGAACTAATCAATTTGCTCTTTTACTGGTCTTTCAGGACTTGAACGAGGTTGCAACTAGGCTGACTATTTGTGGATGGATAACACAAGGGTGCCTCATGACTTAGGCAATTGCAGCTAAGTTTGTGACATTGTGGTATCAAAGCAGATAAGTAATTTGAGCAAATAGTGAAAGTTTCATAATTTTACCATGGTAAAGCATCGTGGCAAATCGAGCAACATGGGGCAAGCCAAACCATGGCCCCAAGTAGTCACAGATGGGTTGCAAGTGCAAACTGGCTCTCAAGTTATTGGAGTAGCTCAAAAGAAGCATAACAACAAACAAGACGAACGAGAAGTTGGCCATTCTTCATGAGTGGAGGAAGCATAATTCAGTGTCAACCAAGAAAAGAAACCATAATGAGAGACTTATTGTTGTGGAAACCTATCTTGATATTATTGAAGTGAGTCTAAAGAAACTCTACCAAGGCTAACAAAGGCCTCTTGGGGTAGAGAACTTTAAAGAGGATGCAAAATCACGGATCGACAAGGTTGAGTCTCTAGTAGATCGATTAACGGAAGACACTAAAGACTCCATACAATATCTATACAAAGTTATGGTGGAACTTATGTCTAGGATTACATTGTTCACAAGAGCTCTTTGTTAGGATCGAGAGCACTAAGGAGGGGGGGGGGGGGGGGGGTGGGGGG